TCTTCCGTGTTTCACATCGGTTATGTGCTTTTTAACTCGTGTACTGATGTTACGTTTGGTTTGGTCAAAGACATTTAAGTAGTAATAGTAATAGACCGGACATCAACAAAATTGTCGTCTGTAACTTTTGTCCTATAGGATATATCTCCGATTTTTGTCATTTAGTCTTAGTGACATCGTCAAAAGGTCAAGACGCAATCGTTTTGCAAATTTAAAAATTAATTTTAAAGAAAATATGCCCTGTTGTGCATTAAGATATTGTAAGTCGTATGGACGTTCAGTTTATTATCGCAATTATAATGTATTCTTACGAAATATGTTATTAAAACCTTTTGCTTACAGAGTTCTATGAACCGGCATTATAATTATGGTTTTTGTATAAGCACGAATCTGGTAATTTTAGATTTCCGTCAGTTAATACCGCAGAGCGTGAAAAGTGGATACGGTTTGTCCAAATAGAGCGCAGAGAAAAAATTGGCTTCCATCTGCTATATCAAAATTATGCTCAAAGCACTTTAGAAGCGAAGATATGTACTACGAAAAGACTGGTCATACAATTTAAAAAAAGGATCATTTCCTCGTTTTGCGAGTGAAGTAAGTTGTATGTTATTTATAGCGGTACAGCCAAGCAAAGCTGAACATTTGCCTATTAGTCTTAACCAGACTAATAGGCAAATGTTCAAAAGTAAGATTTTATTTAATTTTTTCTTGACATCACCTTTTTATAATTTCAGAATAATGAAACGAATGCGGAGGCTACCAGAGCTTAAAACAATCAGTGTTGTTGTATCAAACTCTGAGTCAATATTTGATAGTCCGAGGAAAATTGCATTGAAGTTGCAAGTTCGCAATTTACAAAAACAAAAAATACGCCATAAGGCTAAAATTAAAAAACTAGCCCAACAAAATAAATATTTCAAACGGAAAATATTAAACTTAAAAGATTTAGTTAAACAATTAGAAAAAAAGTTTGATATTTAAAAAAATATGATTAATTCCTTAAATACTACAGTAGAAACGCAAGCCGTGTATGATAGACTCAATATGCAATCGACGAAAGCAGAATTATCTCGTCGTAAATTTAATCCTTCTTTTCGTAAATTTGCTCTAACATTATTAGCTGCTTACAAGTATGCTAGAAAATGTATTTTTGTAAAAGAAACGAATTCAAAAACATAGAAGCGCTATCTTATTGCATTTGGCGTATCTCGATGTGCTATGATATGCTATTATTATAGCATTTAATGGACCGAGCGACGTCATCAAAGATGCCACCAATGTGACTGCTGTATGAATTGATTCTTAGTTATTGGAAAATAAGTATTTTATTTCATGATACTAAAGTGGCGTAAAAAGTTAATATGGTTTTTATGGGTGATAGAAGCCATAATAATTATATTTATACAATAAAGCAATCATGCATATTCGCTACTATTATATCGTAATGCATTTCAAACTAAGTAACCTTCAACAACGTTATCGATAATTTGATGTCGAAACGGGAACATTAAACTTTTAAAAAAAACCGATACTAAAACCGTTTATTTATAATCTATATTATATATTTACCTTATATTTATTAGCGTCACCTAATGGGGAATAGCTGAAATGTTTTCCATATAAATAATCAGCGTAGCGTTGCTATATTTCGCTAGAGGGTATCACACACGAACGAGCTCACAGTTTTTGTATGCAAACGTTCGTAATGTCCGCTCTATGGTATATATATATATATATATATATATATATATATATATATATATATATATATATATGTATATATGTATATTTAAATCTCTTTGCGTTTGTTCAATATATGAGAGACCGCAGAGTATATTTTACACTAAGATGTATATAAACACACAATAACATACACTGAAACTGTTATGCTACTGTGTTTTTCAAAATCTACTTATTTACATTTTTTTATGGGCCGTCGATAAACAATGCCTTTTTTATCTTGACTACTGAATTGTGACAAAATTTTATGTTTATAAAATTTCCCATGTTTTTAAATATTTCTACTAAATATTAGCACAGAATAAATATTAGATATTAGGCAGATCAAAATAAGTGAATCAAAATAAGTTAGTCAGCATATAGTGGACGCTATCTTTGATCACTCGAAGAGTGGGCTTTTTTTGGTTATTTCCTCTTTGAGTATTAAACCAAAGGAGGCGGCATCGCAAGGCATACCCCTCTGTAAAAGGTACGAGAGTCCAACTCATGCCCGTTATATAAAACTAGTTGCTCCGCGTCGTGCGCCATACCGCAAGTGATCATGCCAGTAAATCGAGCTCCGACAAAATAACGAATTGCAGTGTATTTACATGCAAAAACAGTCAAAAACGTCAAATCTACAAAAAGACATCATGACTTTTCATCTGTGAATATTTTTAACATAATATTAAAGCAATATTATCATTAAAACTCGTACTTAAGTGCTGCCATCATAGTTCATAAAGTGAAAAATAATCTATTTTTAAATAAATATAATTTACTACACACGTACGCAGACTCGACGACTTCCAGCCTCCCGAACAAGCCAGTTTCCGAAAAGGCTTCAGTACCATAGACCACATATATACCCTGCGGCAGATTGTACAGAAGACTGAAGAGTACAAATCTGCCACTTTGCCTGGCGTATGTGGACTATGAGAAAGCCTTTGATTCTGTCGAAATTTGGGCGGTGCTACAGTCCCTTCAGCGGTGCCAAGTTGACTGTCGGTATATCGAAGTGCTGAAGTGTTTGTACAGTATGGCTACGATGGCTATCCGAGTACAGAACCAGAGCTCGAAACCTATCCAACTGCAGATAGGTGTAAGACAGGGTGACGTTATATCCCCGAAACTCTTCACCGCTGCATTGGAAGACGTTTTCAAGCGAATGGACTGGAAAGGATACGGTATTAACATCAATGGCGAGTACATCACTCACCTTCGATTTGCCGACGATATAGTCCTTATAGCAGAATCGCTGGAGGACTTAAGCACTATGCTCAATGACCTCAATAGTGTCTCCCAACGGATAAGTTTTAAGATGAACATGGACAAAACAAAGATTATGTTTAATGTCCATGTCACACCTATGCCGGTAGTTGTTGGGAGCACTATGCTCGAAGTTGTTGACGAGTACGTTTACCTGGGACAAATAGTCGACTAGGTAAGTCCAACTTCGACCGAGAGGTCAATCGATGGATTCAACTCGGCTGGGCAGCGTTCGGGAAATTACGACATATCTTCTCGTCAGGTATACCTCAATCTCTAAAAACTAGATTGTACAACCAGTGCGTGTTGCCAGTGATGACTAACGGATCTGAGACGTGGTCCTTCATTGCTGGCCGTATGAGGACGCTCAAGGTCACTCACCGGGCTATGGAGAGGGCTATGCTCGGAGTTTCTCTGCGTGATAGACTCAGAAATGAGGATATCCGCAGTAAAACCAGAGTGACCGACATAGCCCAACGGATTAGTAAGCTGAAGTGGCAATGGGCCGGCCATATAGCTCGAAGAACCGATAACCGATGGGGAAGAAAGGTTCTCGAGTGGCAGCCTCGTACCGGTAGGCGTAGTGTAGGGCGACCCCCCACTAGATGGAGTGACGACCTGGTAAGATATGCAGTAAGTCGATGGATGCATGTGGCTCAGGACCGTGCTTTGTGGCATTACTTGGGGGTGGCCTATGTTCAGCAGTGGACTTGTGAAGGGCTGTAATGATGATGATGATGATGACTACACACGTTAAATATATTAACGACAATGTATTTCCTAATAACTAAATCAGTTTGTGATGAATAATAATCATTACATTACGTTAGTACTCTTATTAGTTTGTGCATTACATATAATTTGGATCAATGGAAATGAATAGATTGGATCACCAGCCGTGCTTTTAGTTCAGCACTTGTACCCTTTACTAAGAAGTACGCAATGGGTACTTTACAAGAGTATTAATGCCCATTAATAAAAATGCTAAAGCATCAGTAGCGTTCTCCGAATTGTCAAAAATAAAGTTTCAATAATTTAATTCCGAAGTTCATTTTTAAATATTTTAAAAACAAAATTTTAAATAACACCTTGGTATTGTTTATCTATAAATATATCTATACTTGTAATCAAATAAAAACATATGCGGACTATGGTGATTTGTTTATCGATAAAAAATATCGACATAGTCCACGCCCTACGTTGCAACATGCGCAAGCAACGTAGGGTTTGACAGCGGTACGAGCATGGAGGTTAGAGAACAGGAGAACGATTGCTACGTACTAAAGCATAGCCCGCCTGTCCTTGAAAATTTGTAAAATTTATAGCAGCGCTGCCGTTGCTGAGTAGCTGCTGCGAAGTTAGCTGTTTATGAGTACAAGTAGATGAAGTTAGTTGAATAATGTACAAATTTTCTTCTCGGAATTGGTGAGAAAATTTTCATGCTCCGTATTTTTGTAATTTTCGACAAAAAGAAACATTAAAAAATAGAGAAATTTCTTATTGTGCGTGAATGTGCAAGTGGTTTAGCATCTGATCGGAAAAATAGACTGAAAATGACTTATTGAGCGAACTTAGCGGTCGCAACGCTTCACTTATGGTGTCCATATTTCTGGGACACTATTTTCTAAGGCGATCGTTCTCCTGTTCTCTAACCTCCGTGGTTGGAGTTGGAGATTGGAGTTCGCTCTTGGCATAGACGTATTAGTTTGTGCGTATTATGTTTTATGACGTCCATAGAGGAAAGTAATATATCGATTACGTCTATGGCTCTTGGTTATAAAAAGATAACACAGTACTTTTTATATAGGAAAAAAAGATAATATGATGTCTATGGAGTGCGGCAACGCACGCCATGTTTTCTTGAAAACGTAAACGAAATAGAAATAGAAAGCGACATTTTTGTGATAATTTATTCTATAGATGTGAAGTTTAGTGTGGTCTGTGGTAAGGAGTTATGTGATTTTTTTAAAAATAAATACTGTTTTGAACTTTTGAACAAAAACGTTTTTACAATGGCTTTAATCAACGAAGTTCCCAGATCTTTTCCTCTTTATGTGACTCATGTGGATGGAGAGGGTCACTTTTTGAAGATAAGTGGCCAGCTAGACCAACCACCCTCGTTGATGATCGAGAGTTTGTTTGAGAGCGCACGAGAAAATTTAGAAAACGGCATAGGCGTTGTTCCACCTGCTGCAATACATGAAGGTGTCATTTGTGCCGCGAAATACAAGGATGGAAAGTTTTATAGAGCCAAAATTATTAATACGACTAATTTAACTACTGGCTTAGTTGGAGTACATTTTATAGACTATGGCAACAAGGACATAATTTCCTTAAGCACCATTAGGTTTTTAGACAATTATGATCCAATGTTCTTGCAGTTACGTGGTCAATCTACTGATTACTATTTGTCTCGCGTGATGCATCCATCGGGGAGATGGGACGAGCCATTGCTGTTAAAACTTCAAAGTTTGCTTTGTTATGCTGAATATCCTGCCACTATTGAGGTACAAACACGCACTTTACCCATAATTTCAATACAGTTCAAAGGAAATGACTTGTCTTCCCACCTTGTCACAAATAGATTTGGTATAGCTCTACCTTTAGCTAAACAAGAAGTCTTGCTACTGCAGTTAAATGAAAACCAGCAAGTGTTAAATTGGCAGCCAACCTTTATAAATGATACAACATTTTCTGAACATGTTCCGTTTTTGATAAATCAAAATTTTCCTAATCCAGCATCAGCAATGAGATTAAATCAGGGTATGTCATTACCATTTAATGGTAGTATTCCTGCACCTTCATCAATAAATCAGAGATTGATAGTTAACAAGGGTTCAAGGAATCCTATCAATCTGAGAGCCCCTGCACGTCAACCACAACATGCAGCAGCAATTTCATCAACTTCCTTGTCAAGTACAATACCACCAACACCAGTATTATCTAATAAGCCAGTATCTCCAAAAAAGTCTATTACATACAAAAGTCGTCTACTTGAAGTGAACTCACAACACAAGGTTTTTGTCTCATTTGCTGAAGAGGGGCCAGAACTTTTTGCTGTTCAATTAGTAAGTGATGCAAAGAAACTACAAGATATGATGGATGACATTAATAGAAGACCCCACAGCAGTCTTGCTGAACCACCAATGATTGGTACTGTGTGTCTGGGCAGAATGTCTGGGGACCGAATCATATGCAGAGCAATTGTAATGAATCTCTCAGGATCTCAATGCAAACTGTTCTTTGTAGATTTTGGTGATACAGAGATGGTTTCATATTATGACATATTTGATATTCCAGAAGAGTTTGTAAAGCCAAATGTCTTTGCAATGAGATTTTGTTTGTCAGGTGTTAAGAAATTGGAGAAGGGGCCACATTTGAATGAGACATTTAAGCAGCTAGTCAATGGTAAGGTGTTGACACTAAAAGTGGTTTCTCCTGAAGGGCCCCCACTGATTCAATATGGAGAGTTATTTTTGGATGATAAAAATGTTCTTGATTTACTTTTGGCTAATATGAAGAATCAGTTACAGTTTAAATGGATGGAAATGCTACCGTTGGGAAGCAGAAGATCTGTCTTGGTTTCATATGTAGACAGCTGCATCAAATTCTATGTGCAGCTTTCAGACAAAATTGATGAGCTGAATGCTGTTATGAATGCTGTCAAAGCCCATTGTGAGAACAGGTCATCACCAGGAGAATTGCCAGTGGGGGCTGCTTGTTGTGCCAGATTTCCTGATGATGACAATTGGTATCGAGCAAGAGTTAAAGACACAAGGGGCAAAAAAGTTATAGTTACATATGTAGATTACGGTAATGAACAGGAAATTGATATTTCTGACTTGAGGACTATTACTCCTGAGTTAATAAGGCTGCCTGCACAAGCATTGAAATGCGCATTAAAAGTAAGTCCAGTGTTTTATTCCTTTCGATGTTATTCGTACTGTGCTAGTGAAATGTAATTAACAGCCTTTTATAAAGTATTGAGATGTTATAATTGATTTAACTGAGATCTCTCAGGGAAAATGTTTTTAAAACATATTTTCATTAATTCCGTAGAAGATAGGGTATGTTCCGAACCGTTTTCAGTATACTGCCGAATACAAATTAATTGACACTATATTGTACAGGCGTGCCGCTGCCATATTGTGTCGGATATCCGGCCATAATAAAATAATTTTTAATTGTGTGTGCGCTGAATGAAGCATGCCAGAATTTGTTTTTATTTATTCAAATACAAAAAATTATAGAATAATTGCTGGTATCTCCATTAGGAGGATATAATTATTTTTGGAGCACAAAATGACAAAATAATCGCCAACACTTTTCCAATATAGAGCAAATGTATGACATCATAATATACTGTCCTATGTTTTGGAACTAATCACCAGTATAGCATTGATTCATGACATCATTTGCATTGGACACTGGGTTGTATTTTGGAACATACCCATAGTGTGATGTCAGCTGCATTACTATACATACTGTAATCTCTATTTTCATCAGCTATTTTTAATCCACTGTTGATGGTATATGAGTCTTCTGAAAAATGACCTAAGTGATTATAATTTAAAAAGAAATACTAATACTCTCACACAGGTAATGCTGGTCACTATCATCATCAGTGAGATTTGGGTTAGACATATTGTGCCTGAGGGATTGGTTAGTTTTTGCAGCATAATAATAAAACCTTGTTTTTAACCGACTTCAATAACGGGGTGATACTCAATTCGACTGTATTTTTTTAAATGTGCTTTATCTCAGAACTTTTTTCTAGGTGAACTGATTTTGATGATTGTTTTTTAATTGAAAGCTGGTACTTTTCATTTGGTCCCATAAAATTTGATCAAGATCTGTTTTTGAGTTATCTTTACTAATGCATATTTAATTGACTTCGACTACATTGATGATGTTCTTATTTTATTATATTGAAGTTGGTAGTACAACATTTAATTTTACCACTTGTTTACTTAGTAGAGTACACTGAGTGCAGGTGGGGTTGTCATTTAAAAAATAAATATTTCTTTACCCCCAATTTGATTTTAAAATAACAACTTCATAATAATAGGTGGTAGCGGTGTTACAACATCCACTACCCCATACTATCTTGAGGATGCCGTGAGAGACAACAGAGTTAAAATGAAACAGAAGATGGGGAGCAGCATCTCCCTGATAACAAGTCAAAATATTTAAAAAAAACTGTGGTCGTTAACCTGCTTGCCAAGCGTGGCAACTGTGGCAAAATCCCCCCATGAGGGAGGCCTATGTTCAGCAATGGACCTTTTTAGGCTGTAATAGATGGATGGATAGAAAATTTATAAATCTGTGCTTATAAATTATTTTAATCTTAATTTATCTTCATATGCTTAGGGCTATGAAGACAAACCAGTAGAAACAAAAACATCAAACCAGTTGGAAATGTTAGCTTTAGAGAAGACACTCATGGCGCACATTGTTGGAGTTCTCTCTAGTGATACCATGCTAGTCACTCTGATTGATGACACAATAACACCACCACTGGATATTGCTCGAAGAATGAATCAACTTTCTCAACCAAGGAGCATTGAGGTAATAGTTTTTTTTATTTTTTAACTGTAGTAGTTGTGATTTGAAGAAGTAACCACTTTAGTCTATGTGACATCTATACAAGACATCTTCATCTATGTATCTGGTTTAAATACAAGTTTGTTATATTGCTACCTATTGAAAGCCACAAGATCCTTGGGGCATTTCCTTTCAACAAAGTTTTATGCAAGCATTCTTACTCTCCACTCATGCCTTTATTGTAATGTACTCGTATAATATGCAATAGCACTTATACAGGATGAATTTTTTGAATGGGTCCTTTTGTGCTGCCACTACATAACTTGGGTTAGTTGTTGTATGTGTCACCATGAAGGTTTTTACAAAAACAAGTATATTTGTTTCCTTTTTCTTTTATTGAAAAACAGTAACAAGCAAGCACGCAGCCCACTTGTTGATCAATGGATACTGTAGTCCGTAGACGTCTACATTTATCCATAATTAAGAATCATAATGCTTCTGCATTTTTAACCCTAAGAACTAAGATGAATTGCCTCATATCCAGTGATACTACCATAATATAGCTGCAGCATGGCTCTACCAAATATAAAAAAGTTTGTTTATCTTCTAAGAGTTTCACACACATGATAAATCTATGCTGTAGTTGTTGGGAGCATGTTGCTCCAAGTTTTTGATGACAATGTTTACATAGCATAAATTGTCCAATTAGGTAAGTCCAATTTGGATTGAGAGGTCTATTGACGATCCAACTTGCTGGGCAGTATTATTATTATGTGGTAATAATAATACAACACTATATAATTTGAAATTTTGACACATCTTATCAACATGTATTCTTCAAAACTTGAAAACAAGAATGTGCAAGCAGTATGTGCTGCCAGTGAAAACATAATAGAGCCATGCTGCAGCTAAATTATCATTTTAGCATGGCCCAACCGGGGTAGGACTATGCTATCACAGAATACCAGCATAAAATAGCAGCTTAATGGTGCTGTGTTTCATATGGTGAGTGTAGAGAATTGGAGACTCTTGTTACTGAAAATAAGGCATTCTATATTGGTGCTCAGAGGAAAAAACGCATCTGCATTTTGTGTCTTAATTGAAGATAAATGTAGATGTCTATGGGCCACAGCCTTCACTTACCATCAGGTGGACTGTGTGCTCATTTGTCACACTTATTCTATAATATATACATATATATATATATATATATAAATATATATATATATATATATATATATATATATATATATATATATATATATATCTGTCAAGTGGTCCTTCACTTTTGGTTGTATTTCACTCAGCAACTATTTTTATAGTAAGCTAAAGCAGTATTTAGATTTGCAAGAACTTCTGCCAAGTTATTGCACAAGTACTTGCAGAACCGTTTACGCTACCAGCAATATTGCTATCTCAATTTGCTTCTGCAAGCGGCCTGCAAAATAACTTGTGGAAGCACTTGGAAAAGAGTTTACAATAGTAAGGGCAATATTTTTTGCATGCAAATCAGAGGATCCTAATTCAGAGTTGCCATCAATCATCATGCCAAGCTGTAGAAAAATATGTGCTGCTGCTATAGTAGTCTTATTTAGTAGTATTAAAAAGAAATGTTTATACCTAGTAGAGCCATGCTGCAATAGTAGTATAGTTATAGCACAAATGGGTCAGCTCAACCGGAGAAGGACCACGCTCACAGAATACCGGCGTAAAATAGTAGCTTAATGCTGCTGTGTTTCGTATGGCGTCTCACGGGTGACAACATATCTGCATTTTGATTCATAATCGAAGATAGATGTAGATGTCCTTGGGCCACATCAATTACTTACTATCAGGTGGACTGTGTGCTTATTTGTCACCCTATCATATAAAAAAAAGACAGAAAAATAGAAAGTGGGTTAAGAAGTAGATATTAAGAAGAGATAATGTTTGTATCCACAATCATCTATTAAAAGAACTCACGTGCGAAGAACCTATGCATAGAACATAAACATTTTGTATCCCATAATTCTCTGTGTTGTTCATACTTCTCTATTAGCCGCACAGTATCATCCAAACTTTAAACTTTTTATTTTTATTAAAACTTTCAACTTTATTTAAACTTTCATTTGAAAGCAAAATAAATCGCAATTTACTGCCAGAAGCTTCAAAATAGTGTTTACACTTGCGACTTGCGGCAAGTCCTGCAAGTTACAAAACTTGCGGAAGCAAGCTTGACGTGATTGTTTATACGGCAGGAATAGCTTGCAGAAGTCAACTTTTGCAAAGTTTTGTTGCTAATCTGAACCTCGCTTAAGCTTTCCCGACCGAATACTTTGGCCTAATATTCGGCAATTCGACCAGGAAGCCTGCAGAATATTCTGTATTTGGTGTGTGGCGGAATATATATTTGTTGCAAGCCTACTTAAAACATTTTCAAGCTCCATGATTCGCGCTACACAACCACGATCCCGCTTGCACTCAGAATTTTGCATCTCAAGTACACGCGCCTATTGTACACAATAGGTACTTGAGAATCGATTTTATTTTATATTAGTGGTTATAGTTGATACGTCTAGCGTGATGTATGTTTATTTAATAAATCTAACTCAAGATTGTTCCCAAGATCCCATGTGTGTGTACTTGATCTGAGTTCTGAGCTGAGGAACGTTTTTATTAATACAAGTATTTCATAGCATGAAGAAATTTATGCTATTGGAATAATTCGAGCCATCTTATCTCCTTGAAGAGTCTTAACAACTTATTGACATCGCCAAATATTATTGTTAAGGAGTTGAAATCATTCGTAGATTAGCCCCGAGTTCATAACATTAATATTCAGTGCCTGTGAAACTACTCTATATAGGAGTATCCAAACATACCTCTTCTTTATTTCTCTAGCGGTGGTTGCAGATACCACACCGACCCATACATTCAGAAATTGTTTAAAATTATAAAACTGCGCGACAAATTAAAAATATTAAAATTACTGAATAGTATATAAAACCAATTAAAATTTTGCGTGTGGCTGTGTATTCGCTAAAATCTTTAAAATAATTAATTGATTTTGATGCTGTTTTCATCATCTGTTATAAGGAATTCTTCTTAAAGAAGAGTTAGGGCGCAATTACACTTGGTCGTTAGCCTGCTTTCGGGTGCACGAAAGACATTACTCGAATTCGGGCACCCGAAGCATTAATTACATTGCATTCTTTTACTCGAATGGCAAACGACTCTGCGCCCGCGTTCGGTGAGGTACGTGTTTGCGTACGCCATGACATCCGCTAAAACCTCGTCGAGTATCTTGATTCGGATAACTAAAACGAAGGCGGGCGTACTCGACTCCATAGGCACTTCCATAGGCAATCGAATACGGCCAAACGACCAAGTGTAATTACGTCATGGATAGATTTTATTTATGACATTTTATGTAAAGATAATTTTATTTTTTTATTTTGAGCGTATTTTGATAAAATCGTAAAAAGGTAACACAGCACTGCTGAAACCAATTCAAAGAGTAACACCACACGGCTGACAATTTTATGTAGTAGTAGAATATACATTTCTATCTGAGGTATCATCGTCTTAAACTATTTCTGCCGTCAAATAGTAGTATAATTCCACTGCTGTGTTTCTGTCTGGAGAGTTGTGTGGCATGTTCCATCTTAGTCTTCAGATCAACTATAGTTGTTACGTAGGTTCGATTCCGATTCCAAAAGTTCGGAACTTCCGATTGATTTTGCACTCTCTATTCATTTTCATCGGAAGTTATACCGTAGGTCGATCATTGAGTTATACAAAACTAGAGGAGCAAACCACATTACCGCGCGTCGAAAAAAGTGTAACCACTATCCAAACGCGACGACGCGACGTAGCTTTGAAACTACTAAACATTTTAAATAAATATATATCTGTCTCACTTACACAAGTTGCGAAAACAATACCGTCGCTAAGATTAGATAAAGATAGACACACAAACATGCAATGGCGGATTGGTGTGGCTTTTTTATATGAAATTTCACTCAAAATACGCAATAAAAAGGGGTTTTTTTAAGCTGCAGTTGTTTTTATTAAAAAAAGTATATCTTCTTATCAGATGAATATGCATAAGCGTAATTGATGAAATAAGACTTGTACTAATAAATCAAACAATATAAAATAGATGATAAAGTTTAATTCATATAAAATTTATATAAAATGAATTTATATAAAAAAAAATTATTTAATTCATATAAAATTTAAAATTAATTTATATAAAAATATTAATATTAAATAGGTAATATAATATATTTAATAGATCATTCATGAATAAACTAAAATAAGAATTATTATTAATTATTTTGTATGAAAGTTAAAACGTAGTTATTATTATAATTTCCAAAATATTTAAAATCAGAGGTAACAAATTAACTTACTACATTAATTATTTAGTCTCCATTAGTTTGGGGTAATCACATAGGCGGAAAAGTGGCAACATTAAACCTAAAATCGCAATATTCGACAATTTTTTTTATTTGAGGTTTTTACGTTTCTATGAACATGAACTAAAACTTATGTGTTAAAAGTGATTCCGCTTGATTTATTATGTTTTTGTGATCTTGAATGCCATTCTTTTACTACGTATTTAGTATTTACCCATTTTTTGTCACGGATCGTTCGGCTCAACTCTGTCGGCGTCACACTGGACACTGAACTGACATTTGCTAGGCATATGGCTGTGGCCATATGTGCAGTGGCAACGCTTTGGCGCGGTAATTACTAATCTAGTGTAATATATAAATCAATGAGGTCGATGCATAGCGGCTGTGTTGAATCTATCAGCGCATACGAACAAGTATAAACTTGACGCGCGGGGAACCTCTCTGAAATGATTGCTATGCAAGATCTTCTCTTCAATTTCGTGGAAGGTATTGGATTCAGGCGACTTACACAATTCATAGTGCCGAATTATCAGTTAAAGCGAAGACAGTTGTTACTGAATATATTTGTGATGAATAATGTGTGTAATTTTATTATAGTAGACGTGCCCTTAACACACCTATCCC